CCCAAATCATGAAAGGAAAAGGAGGCACCAGCTGTGAATAGGCATGGTGGTGCTTGCATCTTGATACAAGTGCCAGGTCAGGGGGTGGAAGCAGCTTGGAGCTGAGCAGAGGTTAGGCAGAGGGAGCTGTGGCAGCTGGAGTGTTGGAAAGAGCACTCCAGGGGCTGGACAGTTCATATGGTCTTTAGGTGTCTGAGGTACAGATCTCTGGGTCTCTACTGTGACCCCAAAAGTATCCCTTAGACTTCCCGTGCCTCAGTTTCCCACTGCACAGCACCTTGCCTGTGGGAGTCTTGTGCTGTCGAGTTTAAGGGACATGAGGTGTTCGATGCTGGTGCCCGGGGCACTCCTAGAGCAAGGCTTCAGCTCGATGTGGGCACTGTTCAGGGGGGCCTGTGAAGAGCCCTGTGGGTGTTTCTAACCAGTGGGTTCCTCAGCTCCTGAGCAGTCAGGCAGCCCTCCTGTAAGCCCTTGCTGTATTTCGATGTAATTCTGGCACATCGTGATAAGCATTTTGTCTCCTTCTTCCCTGTCGGTTTAGACCTGTGGTTAGGATCAAGTAGCACTGACAGCTAGCCACGCGTTACACCAGTGAAGTGTTTTAGCTGGAACATGAAAATTGATTTGACCTCTTGGCTCATCTGCTTAATGAGCGAGCCTGGAGCTGGGCCATGGCCCAAGCCCCAGTGGCTCTGCAGGCAGAGGGCTGCTGCCTCTGCTCAGCACAGCTAGAGGTGCCTGCGGGACTCTGGGGATTTTCCTGGAGGAGAGGAGTTGGATTTTCCTGGCAGCAAGCAGGTTTGATTCATTAAAGCATCTCACCATGGCAGAGCCAGTGCCATAAACCGTGATTGGGTTCAAGCACACTTGGGAGCTCTGGGAAAGATGCTGCACATCCGTGAAGGCTCTGCTTTCTCGGGAGAGGTTTTCTGTTGACTCTTGCCTGGTGTTTTGCCCTCTAGTTTGTCCTGGATCCCTGTGTGCGAGGCAGAGCAAACAGAGCGAGTCCCTGCCCTGCCCCGAGCATAAGGTAGTCTAGCAAATGCTCAGAGGAGGGTGGTTAATTAGTTGTATTTCAGCACATTTCGTTTTTAAGGGCTTTGATCGTGGCATGGAATTGTGGATCTGTCGCCAAGTTTGGGCTTCAAATGAATAAATAAATGATAAACGATCATTTGGCAGCAATGAACCTGCTGCACTCTCTTTGCATGTTTATGTGGTTTCCCTTCTCCCATCTGTTCCCTTCCTCCAGCTCTTCCTTGTGGGTTGGCTCTCCAGCCCCCCTTGCCTGGCTGACAGCAGTCCCCAGCCTTGCTGAATGGGGTGTGCCTGCTCCAACCGGAGACGTGAGGGCTGCCGCCTCAGTCAACAAACTGAGAATTGAAGAACAGCCTCTAAATATAAAAACATGGGTTTTGCTCTGGTAGTCCCAGGAGAGCAGGCTGGGGCTGTACCAGGAGGCACTTTCCCCACACGCTGGGCAAGGAGCATGTGGACGGGTGTCCTTGTTTCCTCCGAACCCATCTGTAGAGATGTGGTGCAGGAGAACAGGGAAAGGAAAATAGCTAAAAGCAGAAAGAGAGGAATGGAAAGCCGAAACAGTGAACAAAGCAGTGGTGCTGCTGGGGTGGGATGACAGGTATTGCAAAAGGTGTTAAAAAACCATAACGAGAGATGGGGCTGCCCAGAGTTTTCCCTGTCTTTCTGCTCTCATTTTCCCAGCCTGTTTTCCCTTCAGATTCACTTGTCTGTCATGTGCTGGTTTTGCCATTAGCAGGGGTGGTTTGTGGCGAGATTGGTTAGTCCCTGTTCCTCTTGGGTGAGTCACTGATCAACTGACATTGATATTTCTGAAGATGTTTGCTATTTGGAGAAATGCTTGTCATGAGTTTGGTCCAGAGCATGTTCCTTGAGCAAGAATTTGTGCAGATATGCACCATATTAAAAATATCTCTGAAGGTATTTACTTGCATCAGTGCTATAAATGTTATCACCTGTAAGAAATGCTATGGCATTGGTCACCCACATCACCCGTTGGTTTTGCTTGTTTATTGGGTAACTTTTACTTATGCAGAGACATCTCGAGGTGGCATCAAGCACATGCATGGCTGAAGTATAGCACATTTAAAGCACTTCTTTCTGTGAATCCTTCTGCAAGTAAAATTACACTTGCAAATATGATTGGGAACAGTGACAAAAAACCACCACAGATAATAAGTGAAGGCACCAATATCGGTTAGAATTAATGCATTTTTTTTGCAAGTTAGTGTTTGAGAGTGCTTCTCTGTGGTCTCTGCCTGCCTCTGTGGTTGGACAGGTAGATGAGGTCTGTGTTCATGTTTGGCTTTACCCTCTGCAGGAGGGAGGAGGAGGAGGAGAATGTCTTTAGGTCTTGTCTTTTCTTTTTGCTTCCTTTTCCCCCTTCCTTACACCTGACATCAGATTCTCAAATTGCTGCATTCTTCACTCACAAGAGAAAAATTCGCATTTTTCTCAGCACTTGGCTTCAGTCAATGGCCATGTGGCATTTTACTTTTCAGCAGTTCCTTAAAGAGCTCCCTTGTGGTTGATGAATGCAGAAACTTTGTCGTAAACCAAACCACTCTTCCCTCCCCTCAATCTAGACTGCTGCTTACTCAGTGAGCCTCAGAAGGGTTTTGATGACAGAAGCCCAAAGTGCTGAGTAAGCAGATGTGGAATTGCAGTCACTCTGAAGATGCCTCGTTTTCTTGCAGACTTCTTGTCTTCTCCTGCTCTGTGTGTATGCAGAGATTCTGGGCAGGGTGCCACGCTCTGCCTGAATTGCAGCACAGATTAACGGAAGGCTGTGGTTCCCTCCCGCTGTTGTGTGTCTCAATTCAGATGTAAATACCACACTGATGCTCAGCATATGGGAAGTCAGAGTTGAGGTGGGGAGGGAGGAGGCTGGGGTAGAAAGCCTGCCCAGAGGTAGGTCACTTCCAAGCTGTTTTGGCCCTGCAGCAGGGTCAGCCCGCAGCTGTGGAATTAAATGAATCTTTGCGCTGAAGCTGATTGTGGACGGTGAGACAATCAGGTTGGTTCATCAGTTCTTTTGCTGGCATTTCAACTGGTGGACACAACAGAACTAACCAGTACATCAGGGCTGGACAGCCCTATGGAGATCTGAGGGGAATCTCCTCAGCCCTCTGCCTTGCAGTTTCTATATTGTATTTTGTTTCTGAGGCAAATTAATATTTGTTTTTCTCTCTCCCTTTTTCTTTGTTTTCAGACAAATGATGCTGCAGGGAATACCTGGAACTGGCTTTACTTCATCCCTCTCATCATCATTGGCTCTTTCTTCATGCTCAACTTGGTGCTGGGCGTCTTATCAGGGTAAGACACTAATGACTGGTTTGTCTCCGCCTGGATACGAAAAGGGAAGACGTGTTGGTTTTGGCACTGTGGGAGGATGTAACTGAACAAGAGAAGATGGAGTGGTACATCGCACAGTACATTGTTCCCCTTCACACCTTTCCTACCCTGTCCTTTCCTTGCAGTGGGATATTTCTATAAGACTATAGAGGCATAGGATGGGGGATAGGCGGGTGAAAAATCATTAATTGAGATGATTCTGAATCCAGACACAAAAGTTAAGTGAGCCCCATGTTCCCTGTAATTATCCTGACTTGGGCCTGGGCAGCCAACACTTGCTCCGCTCCTGTGTCATCTTGGAAGCCCATCGGGAATCCACTGAGCCCAGTAGAAATACTTCCGTGCTGGAGCTGGACATCAAGGTGTTCACAATGCACGTGGTGTAACTGTGCAGCATGGAGAAAGGGGAAGCTCAAACAAAAGGCAATTAAAACATCTCAGGGTTTTGTTTTGGTATTTTTTTTGGGGGGGTGGTGTTGGTGGTGGTGTGGTTTTTAGGTGGGTGGTTTGGTTTTTGGGTTGGTTTTTTTTTTAATCTCTAGCTTTTTAAGCCAATGTCTGGATTTTGGGGACACACTGGTCTCTTGACGCTCAAACCCCAGGTGTCAGCCAAGGATTGGATATTTTTGCACATGAGTTTTGGGTTTGGGCCATTGTGGAGATCAAGCTGTCAAGTTTGAAGCCTAGCTGGAATGTCCCCAGTATCTGTGGAAATTTGGTCTGGAATTAACAACCTGACTCACCTTTAATAGTTGGCAAGCTTTTAGACTCTGGCATCTCCTTTTGCACAGTTTTGTCTTAACCAAGCCAGGTGATCTAGATCATATAGAGCTATAAAGATCTAGATTTATTTCTGGCTCTTGGCAGCATGGGAAGAGAGAAAAGAGTTAATGCTGCTGAGTGGTAAAAGCCTTTTAATGTTGCATCTTTGCTCTTTAAGTTACTAGAGAAAGAAAAATATTTTCCAAAGAACAGATTCATGCTCAACGTTATGATTTTGTTAAGGATCCTCGTCCTCAAATCATGTGCTGGGGGTGGGAGCAGGGGGGCAGCAGGGCACTTTTGTTTGAGGACTGGGAGAAATGCTGCTACAAGAGAAGGTCATGGGGAAGGCTACGTCGTGCACTTTGCTGTTCCTTCAAGAATCATGGTCATGATCAATAACTAATCAAAGCCATTTGTCAGACATCCTGTTGTATCAGAGGCTTTGTAAAGGAGAGCTTCGTGACCATGCTTGTCTGAAGTATGATTTAAAGCGAGCACCAGAGCCAGGGCTGAGTGTGGTTCATTAGGTAGTTCATCTTCCTCGTTACACAGTGGGGTCAGCCAATGTTGGCTGAAATGATACTTGAAACAAAACTCAAAAGCCTGCAGGCTTCTTTCCTTTGAGCTGGCTTCAGATGTGCTTGGTGACCAAAAGATGGAGACCTCTGTCTGGCTCTCCTGAAAGCCTCTTGTTGCTTGGAGCAAAATATGAATATTATATAAATGTGTATCTTTCATTAAAAATGCAGTTCTGTGTATCGTGTTTGCCTTTGTTAGGGGTAACGATTATAATATCTTCTTTACAGAGGGAAGCTTTTAAATTCTGTTTTGCATAGTGGTTTGACATCCTTGTCTGAATAATTCCTGGGGAGAGACTGAAGAGAATAAACGTCATAGCACAAGTGCTGACCACACTGCTCAGCAGGCTGCTGGTGGGCTTGCAGCTATTGAGCAGTGAAGGAAAGTGGGTATGTCTGGACGGACTGGTGATGAGAAAGCACCAGAAAGATGGAAAGACCTTTTGAAGGCAGAGACTGTTGTCATTGTATTCTCTAGCCTAAAGCCCCTGACAGCACTGTAGAAAAAAAAGAAATTTCTGCTGAAGGTTATTCTTTGCTTGGACTTCTGCATGGAGAAAGGGTCATTGGCACATACCTGTTGACTTCCATAGGGTACAGTTTCACTCAGGGACATTATGGCATCCATGTCCCAGTGACAGTGTCAGCTGGCAGCTCCTGCAGCGGAGACTCTTGGCAATATCCCACATTCCTGTTTCAATAAACCAAAGCTGATTTAGGGTTGGGTTCTACAAATAGTCCATGAACAGGGTTAGCTTGGCAATCACTCACCTACTGATGATTTTCATGACCTATGCACCTCATATACATCATCAGCATCAGGGAGTTAAGCTTCAGCGTGCCACTGTCTGTACCTTGGAAAGCCACAGAAAAAACTTTTCCTGACTATTTTTCATTGCTGTTAGTTTTGAGCTATTTCCTCTGACATATTTGTGGTCCTCAGTGGGCAATAAGGAAGCTACAAATTTCTGAAGTAGGTATGCAGGCGCTATCCCAGATTATGGCTATGTAAATAATCTGAAATGACAACAAATTATTGAGCTTCCTACTGACACGAGATTATACAGAGTTTTGCCATACTTTTTAATGGAATTTTCTGCCTTTCTGTAGTTATTTGTGAACCCATGTCAGCACTGGGCAGATACCTAATATGAGTGGGCTTAGCCCCTGGGTTTATCTGTTTGAGCAGTGTAGATGGATTGACCCGGTTAGGAGCAAAATGCTGAAGCGTTTGCATTGCAAATGCTACAGAAGAGGTGATACTTGTTTTAAAATAAAGAGCAAACAACCTTTCCCCTCTGCTGATTCCTCTGGAATTATAATAAAAGCAAAGGCAGGGAAGTGACAGGGAGCTGTGGAAATCTGTGAGTGTTGGTGAAAACTTGATATAAAAATAACCCACGATCTTGTGCAACAGCTGATATGACAAAAACCTCTGAGTACCTGGCTAAAGATGTAATTATAAGTATGTTGACTCTCTAATTCAGATTAAACAAGACTCTGCCTGCTGTACAGTGTGTCCTCATCACGTGTGCTGATCAAAGCACTGCCGGTGCTCTTGTAATCTGTTGATGTTTAAATACCCTCCCCCGATGGCACACTCTGCCTTCTGTTCCTTTCTCCACCCTAATGCAAGCACTGGGGGCCAGGCCCCCAGCAGAGCTCGGCTCTGCTTGTGCCACCAAATACCCAGATTTCCCCAATGATCCTAGGACATGGGGTGTGGAGTTATTGCAAACATCTTATTTCTGATGGTGCAATAGGGATGTTGGGCTCTCCTATGTCTTTGCAAGAGATACATGTTGCAGAGGATGCTGTGCTGTACCTGCTCACAGTGCCAAAGGTGGGTCTCTGACTGGGGAAGTTGGTAGCAGCTCGCCCTTGCCAAGGTGGCGCATCAAAAGCAAAGACAGAGGGTGCTGTTCTCTAGCTGTGAATACGGTAGGATTTAGAGTTTTCCTGGAGTACTGCAGTGGTCACAGTACACAAGTGAACCGCAATCGAAACAGCTCCTAAAATCTGGGAACTACCTTTGCTTGTTCACAGAAGGTACAGGGCTCTCCAGCAGGAACTGTTGGCCGCGGAGCAGTGGTAATGCGGGTTTGTGTCCCTTGTTGGGGATTTTCCTTTCTGCTCCTCACTATGTATTCCCCCTGCTTTCTGTTTTCCCTCTCTGGTGCTTGATGCCTCTGTGAGCTGATAAAACTCAGCAGCCCTGCGGAAACCAATAGAGCAGAAAACCACAGATTATTTTCTTCTGGAGGAGCTTTTATTGAGTGCCATAGCTGATGCGAGGGAAGATCAGGACTGTATAGGGTCAGGAGAGCAGAAGTGAGAGAAGAGATTTCTTTCCCCATTGGTAGGTTTAAGACATTCGGTAGATTCATTTGCTTCTGCATGTGAACCCTAGAGGTCTGGCCACTTGATGAAGGAGGGCAGATGCAGGCTGAATTTTGCCCATCCATGTCCTGGAAAGCATGTTGCAGTGACTGCCCTCGCCTGGTACCTCCCCAGTCACAGGCACAAAGAAAGGGGAAAGGAAAAAAAGGAGATTGGACACCTGGTGGAAGTTCTGCTGAGTCATCCATCCACCCAAAGGATGAACCAGGTTTTGTTCATACTAGAGAGCTGCCCTTGACTTTATTTCTCTGTTTTAACCATGAGAAGCCATTCTAGCTGTGCTAACCTTGTTCCAGAAAACTGGGGCACCTTGGTTCCCGGAAACTGGGATAGCATTTTGCAAGGTTTCCAGTGCAGAGTGGAGCAACAGCAATAGGGAAAATGTTTAGGCATTTGTATCCATAATATATTTCTCTTGAAACATCTTTTTGCATTGATTGTGGTGGGTGGTTATTCTTAACGTACTAGATTATTTGTAAACTCTTTGTGACTTGGGTAGCAATAAAGGCATCCATCACAGGGAACACAACCTTTCCATAGAATGAGAGATTGGCTGCCTCTGGTGGCACCATGTTCTGGCTCCAAGTCATGCTAAGAAGGGTTGACCCCAGGTGCCTTTCAGGTTTCCCTAAACACAGGGTTGTTTGCTGCTTGAGGTGTCATGGGATTTGGCTTCAGTTCTGACCAGAAAATGCCCTATGATGATCCTGATAAATTTTTTATTGAACTCTGCACATGGTTCTGCAGTTTACAGTGAGGAGGGAAAAAATATCCACTATTGAATTGAGAAGTCCTGACCAATGCTCGCTCTTTTTCTGACTTTGTACTGTTTTCTTGCTAGCAGCCCTCTGCCATCCTGCTCTGGCAGCTGTTGCCCCCAAGGGATGGGCACCCCTCTCCCTATACACCTTAGCTTCCTGGTGTTCCCTCCCTTAGCAGTGATTTCCAATGCTGTTTTTCTCATCCTACTGCTGTTCCCCTCCCAGCCCTCAGCCTCCTCTCAGCCCAGCTAGTATCTTTCTTACGTGGGCTGATGAGATTATGGAGTTTTCTACTGCTTGGATGTTGAGTTGTGTATTAATTTTGCCTGGTAATGAGCTGGATCATTCTGTACAATACATTTGTGACTGTTTTGATGCTTTGGATTACACAATGCAAAGAGGATAAACGTTATCATGGGATGCTGTGAGGAAGATGATTTAACTTATTTCAAGGCTA